GCTTTATTTGCTTTGTTCTTCACAATGGCAATGTTTTCTTTAGCCAGCCATAGATGGAGTGATTTTCTTCCCTGCATCCACAGGTTTCAGGAGACAAAATCGCTCGATTCCCCCATCAGCACATTGAACCGTCCTTGTCAGAAGAACGCAGTGATTAATGCTAGCAGTTATAATAGCCTTCAGCAATAAGCGCATGTTAAATGGACAGGCTTGTTGTACCCAAGTTGATCGATCTGTGGCTGACTTTACACCCAAGGCCATCCTTTCTTCTGAAAGTGGATTCAGCATTCCACCTCAGTCAGGACATTGCCCTCCTATCCTTATGCCCTACTCCTAAGCATCCAAAGACAATTTCTCTACATTGCCTGGACATAGTCAGAGCTATTAAACTATATCTCAATCCTATTGCTCCAATTAGATGGACAACAAATGTCCTCTTTGTCCTGTTCTCTGGACCTCCTGCTTCAAAGTCCACCATTGCATACATTGCACAATGACTATGAAATGATTGCAAGAGCCTACATTCTCAAAGAGAAATCTCTTCCTGAGCTTCTAAGACCTCATTCTACCAGATCCGTGGGTGCTTTGTGGGCATTTTGGCACCAAACCTAGATAGCCCAGGTGTGTCAGACTGCCACCTAGTCTTCTGTTCATACTTTTTTCAAAATTTTACCAGGTGGACATCCAAACTTTTGCTGATTCAGCTTTTGGCCGCAAGGTTCTTGCAGTGGCTCTCTGAGGTTGGGTCCTTTTGATCTTTGTATTTGGGCCTGTTAGCACAGTTCATTTTGCCTCATTGTTTCTCACCATTCTTATTCATTGCTTTGTGAGGTCCCATGGCATATTAAAATTCTGCCTGTGTCCTGTATTCTATGATTAACCACGTAAGTTTGAAATAGGCTGGGTGGAACTGTTGTCGTTCTGGGTGGATGTCATATGACATCCTCCTGTAACGAGCCTCGTACGCGGTCTGTCACCAGCTGTGTCAACCGGACACAGCCGATGACTGACCAGTGTACCGGCCTGTTGCTCTTGTCATGTGATCGCTGTGACCAATCACGGCAGATCGCATAACAATTGTAAACTATGAATGGCATTCAATGTTACAATTGTGTTGTTGGCTGTGATTGGTCACAGTGATCACGTGGTACAGATAGGGCCAATCACAGCCCATCTGTACCATATGATTGGCTGTGGCTAATCACAACAAAACAAACTGAATCAATTTCATTCAGTAAATTCTTGCTTATAGCCCTGAAATTCACTGTGAACAAAAATAATCCTGATCACTTCCCCAGAGTAGTACAACATATTGCTCTGGTCACAGTGTGTTAAAGAAAAAAAAATTACATTTTTCATTTCGTACTGTCACCTGTGTCCCTGATCACTGCCACCCCAGTTATATGATGATGCTGAACTGCACTGGTGACAGTGGGGACAATTCACTAAAGGTTATTGCATGTGTTATGTCAGTCAGGTGACTACATACCGCATATGATACTGAAAATGTCAATTCACTATTGCTAGTATGTGGTATTTACTGCAGTTTGCAAAAACGCTTGGTAAATACGGCATAAAAAGACCTTGGTCAATTCACAGATGGAAATAAAGGAGCAGCACAGTGGTTAAATGGTTGGCACTTCCGCCTGGCAGTACTAGGGTCGTTGGTTTGAATACGAACCACAGCACCATCTGCCTGGAGTTTGTGTTCTCCCTGTACCTGCGTGGATTTCCTCCGGGTAAACCGGTTTCCTTCCATACTCCAAAGACCTGCTGGTAGGTTAATTGGATCCTGCCTAAATTGTCCCTAGTATGTGTATGTATGAATGTAAGTGGGAACTTTAGATTGTACGCCCCTTGAGGGTTAGTGACTGATGTGAATGTACAATATATATGTAAAGCGCTGCATAAATTTGACGGCGCTATAGAAGTACCTATAATAAATGCATGTGGTAATTAAGTAGTGGTCAAAGCATGCAGTTAAGAGCCTCGCCCTTATCTAGTGAGTCAGCTGTCAGCGGGGTTCCCTGCTGACAGTTGAATTTATAAAAGAGAATTGCTGGCAATTAGAAATTAGGGGGAAAAATGGGGTGGGGTCCCCCCCCCCCCCCCCCCCCCATCCATACCAAGCCCTCTGGGTTTGGTGTGCATTTTGAGGGGAACCCCCACTCCAAAATAAAAAAATGGCGTGGGGTCCCCCCAAAATCCCTGCAGCCCAGCTGGTCAGGAAAGGAAGGGGGGATGAGCGAGCGTCTTCCCCAAATCCCCACAGTACCCCCAGCAATGCCCCCTACTCATTCACCAAAAATAAGTGCTGTGTAAAGAAACACAGGAGGCAGTTCTTGACAAGACCTTTTTTTAAAACAAAAAATGTCCCCTCGTGTAGATCATTCATCAATAATGTCGTTCTCTGTGACATCATCAGCCCAGCATGCCCTGGTCAGAGATGTCACAAGGGGGGCAGGGTTACCCAACTACATCTCCAGATGGCCCCATCACAGAAATACTGCTACAGGGCGGCACAGGTGTAAAATCATATATATATATATATATATATACATGATTTTGCATTTCCGGGTAGGGGGCGCGCGGGTGTGGTTACCAATCACCAGGTCCCAGCCGGTAATTACTCACCAGCGCCTGGTGATTTCCAACGATAACCGATGAGGAGGAGGACTGTTTTCTTTACTAACAGTCGTCCTCCCTGTCAGCTCGGGCACACTGCTCTGGATGGCTGTGCACAGCCATCCAGAACAGTGTGATTGCAGTAACACACACACACACACCTCCCCCTAGTAAAACACTCCCTGCACAGTTAACCCTTTGATCGCCACTCATGTTAACCCCTTCCTACCCAGTGCCTTTAGTACAGTGGCAGTGCTTTTTTTTTTTTTTTTTAATCGCTGTATTGGTGCCACTGGGGATGTCAGTGACACCTAATCAGTTCCCACCAGTGTCAGAATGTCCTCCGCAGTCCCGCTATAATTCGCTGATTGCCGCCATTACTAGTAAAAATTTAAAGAATTTTAAAATACGATTTTATATATATATATATATATATATATATATATATATACCGCCATTTGAAAACGCTATAACTTTCACGTAAACCAATTAATTTACACGTGTTGGGATTTTTTTTTTTTTAGCAAAGACATGTTGAATACATTTTGGCTTAAATTTGATGAAATTTGATTTTTAAACACAAATTTCACTGTTTAATAAGCAAAAAGTCAAAAATATTGTTTTTTGTTTTTTTTTAAATTGTGATTATTTTGTTTTATAGTGCAAAAAAATAGACGCACAGGTGATCAAATACCACAGAAGGAAAGCTCAATTTGTGGGGAAAAAATGGACGTAAATTTAATTTTGGTGCAACGTTGCATGACTGCTCAATTGTCAGTTAAAGTAACTCAGCGCCGTAACGCAAAAAATGGCCTGGTCAGGAAGGGGGGTAAATCCTCAGGAGGGCAAGTGGTTATGAACTATCAATCAGTGGAGCTGGCAGATGGTTTAGACCCTTCTTCAAGAGCAGAGCCTTTTTTTTTTTTTCTTCTTTTTTGCGGGTCAGTGGTGGTAGCTGACATCCTGATTGGTGATGGATCTACACCATTTTTTTTTTTTTTTTTTTAATAAAGGTCAAAATTTGCCTCCTGTGTTGTTTTTACACTACATTTTTTTGGTGAATGAGTAGGGTATGTGTCATTTTAGTACCGTTTTTTAAGGGAATGACATTTTTTTTGTAAAAATGCTGTGCGGTCTCTTACCACATTCTTGACTGCAGTAAGATACTGCTTTGTGAAATGCTGAAATTGTGAATTTTATTTTTCATTTCTTAATTTTCCAAAAAATACAACTTAAATAAACTCGCCTTGCCTGTTACCAAATATTTCGGACTGTCCACTTTACAAAAAAGGGTCATTTGGGGGGGTATTTGTACTGTGCTGCCATTTTTGGGCCTCAATAAATGAGATAGGCCAGTGTTTCTCAACCTTTTTGTTTCAGCAAAGGCACCCTTTAAAATTCTGCATAATCTCGAGGCACCCCATTTGAAAATGTAAAAAAAGTAAACAAATAGTTGTACATAACGCAGCAAGATCCACACATGTAGGAAACTCAACATTAGAGGTGATTTATTCATCCTGAACTGCCAGTAAATGGGCATAGAACATACTGAGGAAACTTGTGCTTTATGACATGACATGTTTTACTAACATAGCATGTTCATACCTTATGTGTATTTACTTTGTGGATTAAAAAATCCTCTTAATACTTCATATGTTTTTTTTTTGGTAGATGTAAACACAACTACAGCCACATTATTCTGTTCATTTTTTTTATAATTCAGCCACTTCTTTTATCTGATCTCAAAGGGTTATCTCCTTTCCAACATAAAGCCATGTACACACGGCCTTCAGTTTGTATAAGAGCACAGCATACTCCTATAAAGCATTTGTAAAGCTTTCAGCAAGCTTCTTTTTCAAAGACTTTAAAGCAAGCTTTAATTCTAATATGGAGATTTTTAGCACAATTCTCCAAAGACATGCTGGTAGGTTAATTGGATCCTGTCTAAATTGGCCCTAGTATGTGTATGCATGTAAGTTAGGGACTTTAGATTGTACGCTCCTTGAGGGTTAGGGACTAATATGAATGTACAATATATATGTATGGTGCTATATAAGTACCTATAATAATAATAATAATAATGGGAGTGCTAAATATCACATTAGGTTGTGATTAGCCTCCTCAAGCTGGTGCTGAAAAATACTTTGAAGACTTAAAAGCTGCTTGAAGCTGTCTTAAAGCTTTGTAAATGCCTAATTCATTGGGGTGAAACATTGCAGACCCCCAGGTCTAGTGAAGAGAGATAGGTGAGGTGGTTCTGTATTTGTCCAGCCTGGTCACCCCGATGATAAGCTGGAAGTTTAGTCTGCTCTAATAAACATACCAGAGCTTGTATTGTTCCACTTAACAGTACACCTTATTTTTCTGTCTTTTAGGCTCTAAGTTCAGAGCTGGCTCAAGCTAGAGATGAAACCAAGAAAACGCAGAATGATGTCCTCCATGCGGAGAATGTGAAAGCTGGCCGTGACAAGTACAAAACGCTTCGCCAGATCAGACAAGGAAACACCAAACAGCGCATAGATGAGTTTGAAGCGATGTGAGGACACTTCATTGCTATACATTCTACACAATGCTGAATCACCAACCTAGAAAGTAGGCCTTTGCAGACACCGACAATGGAAGCGTGCCCCCCTTGCCAAAGCACTTGTACCAGTCTGACTGTGGAGGATAGAATTCAACAAGGCGATCAGAATGGGTTTTATCTCCATGTCTTGTCTAATTTCAGTTTGTAACACCATATCAATGTAATTCATTTAGTTTGTCTTCTGTTTTTCTGTAAAGCTGTTAGCTTGTAAAGTTTTCATGGTTTGAATCCTGAAGGGACAGTTGAATTTTTAAGTTTAGAACTGACATTACTGTTTAGAAAGTGGACATTTTTTGCTACTTCTTAATGTGGAATCATTTGTAATATGCCCTCTTAGAATCTTATTATTCTCCTTTAAAGCTCTACTACACTTGGAGCTGGGACATTCATATGGCTGGAGAAAGTAATGCTAACAATAACTAGGCATTCAGACATATCCTGTGCAAGGAGAATGTGAAAACCTTAGTGTTAGGGATTGGACTGAATACTACTACTACTACCTCACATACACAAGATGACTGGTCCTTGTCATTACCAACGACATGGTTTATTCACGAAGACTTACCCTAGTTTTGAGTTTCTTTTTTTAAAATATATATTTACTTCTAAATTTTTTTCTTCCTTTATCGCTTTTCATCATTAGGCTATCTATATTTGTAAGTAGTCACAGTAATATTATTTTATAGGAGACCAATAACAATACGAACATTGAAGACATGACAAGCACTATTTACGGTCTGTTACTTGTATTCATTTCTGTTGCACTCCTGAATGATACTGTTCACCAAGGCTAGGGGAATCGTTGGAGCCTTATAATCAGTAAGCTTACTTAGATAACATTTCTGTGGTCTTCTGACTCTTTTATACTGTCTGCTTGCTTGAACTGACTGGACTTTTTACGTGAAGTTTTACGTGAAAGAATTCCAGTTTGGGTGGAACAGTGCAGTGCCTGATTCCCAGCCCGCCCCTGCCCTGTTGGTGTCTGCCACTGTCCAGAACCCCAGCAAGATCTATTCCAGCACCATCCAGTGACTTCATTTTATAGCTAAGCTGCTTTTGCTGCCAGCCCAAGTGTGTGCATTTGTGTGTGTGTATTGTATATGTGTATATATCTGCATATGTTTATATATACACACGCACACATCTGTTTCTGAAGGGAGTAGGATACAGACTCGTGCACCCTATTGTGGACTCCCCATAGAAATACAGAGAACATGACTGAAGACAAAAGGAGAGGGAAGGAGAACACCTCAGTGGGTTCTATGACTGTGGTGACCCAATGGGAAGACAAAGCCCACTCCAAACTACCCAGAATGAAGAAATCTGGGTGGAGTTATTAATTTGTCCATGGCTAACCTTTATGACGGAGCTCAAGAAGAATTGGGCTTGATTTATAAACTGAAGAAAGAGGTCGGAAAGTGCTGACCACAGCGTATCAAATTATGCATATTATTGCTCATGATAGGTTGCTTCTAGAAGACCCTTTGTGCTCTAGTTACGGGTTTGTGTAGCCCACAGCTGATATCTGGATGCTAAGCCTCCCAGCCAGCCATTGGCTACAGTTTCTATTTTGTTTTGTTTTTTCTGATATGTGAATTTGTTCAGATTGAGAGCTGTAAAGTTAGTAGTGAGGGAAAGAAATTTTGATGAATGCTAAGCTGCTGCTTTATGATGGTATTATGTGTAAATTTAAATGGCATGTGTTGAAGTGCATAAGTCCCTAAATCACAGTGGAAGAAGCTTAAGCCATTTGTGTTCTGTGGGCCACAAGCACCCAACATACAGACATAACCTACTAGCAACCAACAATAGAACCTTGGCACCTTTCAGACTGTTGGTTGCCTGTAGTACAGCCCACCAGTTAGTTACTGCCACTGTCACAGGAAAACAGGTACACTTTGAAAATGGATAGTCATATCTTTACAGAAATAGGTTTCTCTTCAAAAGTGCATTTAGCATAAACTCAAAATAATTTGAGTGGATTTTTATGCAGGCAATGGTATTTGTTGCCTCTTTAATCTATTTTGAGTTTTGGCCTGATAAGTGCCAGGCCTGTTAGCCATGCAGTTACCTAATGCAGCTTTCATCTTTACGCTGTCAGTTTTTCCTTTTTTCCTATGGAGTGTTCAATTTGCAATAGATGCGTGTTTCAAAAAGTGTACATTTCTAATGTATTCATCTGTATTATGTTTATGTAAAACAATGAGGTATGCAAGCGGAAAGCATAGTGTTGACTTAGGAAAGAATTATCTGCAATATTGCAGTTTCTTTCTTAATATTTCAGTTTTCAAAAGAAAGGACACTGAAAAGTTAAATCTCTCACCAAACCCATGAATCGCTATCTCTGAGTGAACATGACTTGTGTGGCAGTCCAAAAATGGGCTTTTCTGGGAAGTTCAGCCTATGTGATGTGGAAATACCTTATCTGTGTCATTTGGCCAGCGCTGTTTGCTTCTGTGTGTAAAAAACAAAAAAAAAAAAAAAAAAAAATCCCTACTCTCAATTGCAAGCTTTGTCAGCAAAGGAATCTGGTTGTTACACTGGCCCACTGGCATAAAGAGGAGCTCCAGGCTCCCCCCAAAAAAGTAAAGTCAGCAGCTACAAATACTGTAACTGCTGACTTTTAATATTAAGACCCTTACCTGTTCAGCGCCGTCATCACCCGGGCTAGTTCTTCACTAGTGAGGGAAACTGGTACTTCAGTCACAGCCACTTTCCTGCTGCGCATGCGTGAATTGTGCTGCACCTTGAGATTGGTCCCGCAGGCTTCTGGGACCTATGGCAGTGGGGGTGGGGGGTGGGGGGGACAAACAGAGCTTATACTTTTGGGTAATGCTCCCCTTTAAATACTTCCTGAATTGCTGACCTGGAATATGCTTACACTTCACTATTGCTCTTGAGACAGCTGCTTATTTCAGGCCAGACTGTCAGTGTAGATGGCAAAAGGGTCAGCAGTGGCAGCCCCTGATTTGCTTGGAAAAGTTTGCATTCAAAGTTCATTTGAAGCCTTTGTACCTTTTGAAGTTAGTACTGTAATGCAGTCAGGCTCCGTATGTATGTATGTATGTATCTGTGTGTGTGTGTGTGTGTATGTATGTATGTATGTGTATATATGTATATATATATATATATATATATATATATGTGTATATATATATATATGTGTGTATATATATATATATACATATATATATATATATATACATATACATATATATACACATATATATATGTGTATATATACATATATATATACACATATATATATGTGTATATATACATATATATATATATATATATATATATATATATATATATATACATATATATATATATATATATATATATATATACATATATATATATATATATATATATATATATATATATACATATACATATATATACATATATATATATATATATATATATATATATGTGTGTGTATATATATATAAATGGGTGTTTAAAAAAAAAAAAAAAAAAAAGTATATGTATATCCAGACTGCTGGAGACCTGGGCTGCTGCATGACCGCAATAAATACCAAAGCTTCAGTTCAGCTTTAAATTCTTTTCCCATCTTCTTCCAAAAAAGAAAACACCTGCACAATAGGGTTTAAAGGGACTGCAGTGCTGCTACAGCTTCAAGGCTGCTTGGTCTCCATCAGTCATAACAAAAATGGTCAGCAAAGGGACTTTTTTGCCGACAACATATACCTTAGTTTAGGGTGGAGAGAAAGGTTTGAGAGTTGTAGAACCCACAGAATGTTTTCATTTGTTTTGTAACACACTGTCGACAATATGCAGTCAGAGAATACAGAGACAGCTGCCACTATAGAATCTTATTATAAATAAGCGCCGTTAGCTGTGGGAGTCCCTGACGCAAATGTCTAAATAGCAAACGCATGCCAATATGTGCTTCTAACATCTACATTAAAAGATAGCTAATCGTTTCTGGCTGCCTGTTATTGGTCATTATTCACCAGATTCATATCAGTACCGGGTTTATGAAAGTGCTCACAGGTCTACATTGTGTGACAGAATCTGTGATGAGCACACTTCAACACTTTAGGAGGTAAAGGAAACTGAAATCTTTTCCAGAGAGTTTTATATGCTCTTGAGGCAAGGCTTGTTTCACCCGAATGACCCACATAGAGGTGGTCACAGCTCAAAAGGGAATTTGCCAGACATTTGTGTTTGGGTTTTGCAGATTTATCTTAATGATTTATTTTGCTGAGGACCAAAGGACTCAAGGCTGCCAGAGCAGCAAGTTTGTTATTGCAGTTCTTATGCTGTGATGTAACGGTTAATGCCAAGTATGGAGTGCGTCCTTTGTAAGATGCCCTAGCAATAATCACCAACACACAGTGGTTTAAAGCTTTCTTTATCTTTCTCTTTCTGGAAGGGAAGGAATGAAAATGTACTTGAGACGCTCTAAACACAGTGTACAGATATATTATGTATATTGATCACTTGAGAGCTATAGAAAGGCAAGAAAGCATCATTTCATTACACAAATTTCAGCCTGTTTTTCTCATACAAGTATCTTTTTGTTGTAATTAAAGCTGCAGCTACAACTATTTTCAACCAGGTTGTTTAACAATAAAGGTATATTGGACATTTAACATGGCTCTTGTCTTTAATGCGTTTTGAGATTTTAGTCTGTGCAAAATATGCATTGTATTAAATACAGTTATGACATTTGACCACACATATAGACATTAGGGAAAAAAAGCAATGCTTTGGCACCCCATCATCCTAGACACATTATTTTATGGCTTTTTGTATATGTTTAGAGTGCTGGCATGTCTTTCCTACATAAGACACTATGTAATTGTGAGCATTTGCGGTGCAGTTGAATTCCTGTGAACTAGCACAAAAAATAAATCATGAGATCTGTGCCCTTATATAGTAGGGCGTATGCATGCAATTTCACGTGTTTAAAGCCAAACTCAG